TTTGAGAAGCTGGCCCAGGGCCTGCATAGGGATAATGGCAACAAAAATGGATACATTCTACTCGGGTATATAGGGTTAAGGGTTTAGGGTTTAGGGTTATAGTAGGGAACTAGGGGATATGTTGGGGCTATTCATGACCCAGACCCCTGATTAATAGACCCTCTCCGGAATAGGGAAATTGTAATAGGGATCATAATACCATGATGTACCGTAATATGCTATATCATACTCTATGAAGTCAACCTTCTAAGGCCCTTAAAACTCATGGGTCTATATTAGGGATGGAACCCCAAACCCTAAACGCAAACCCTAGATGGTAGTTTATGCGAGGTGTCCGTAACTCCAAGGCTTTCCATCTGGTCTGCAACAGAACGAGACTCTGCCAGAGAGTCCAAACTTGCCATGATGCCCTCAAGGAGTAGTGTTTGGGGTTTAGGGTAGCCTTCAGCCCTGGAACCTTCAACGATAAACGCGTATATGAGGCCACACGACTTAGTCTACGGCCCCAAAATCTTGACACTAAAACCCCTGAGCCCCAGGCCATACCAATCCTACACCCTAAGTCCCCGAAGCTCCGAAAAATACCCGAGGTTGTGGGCCACTTCGCCCAGGCTCACGATGTAGCATCGCTGGCGTTGGCACTGGCGGCCTACAATCCGCTGCTGCTGGCGGGATTTTGAATTTAAGATACATCTCATTGGAAGATGAAGGTTGAGAAGGTTGAGAATGTTGACAAGCAGCATGAGATTTCTATGCGTTCTTGTTTATGGAAGACAGTCAGAAACGGATATGTGGAGTTTATGAACAAGACCTCCAAGTCTGGAGATGCCTGATGAAGGGATCTGTGGTTCGATCGATGGTTTTGAGGTTTGGGGTAAACCTGGGGTATGCCTGTGGGTCTTCAAATACAGCCAGGTTTTTGCTTTCTGAAGAAGCGAGACTTGTCCACGTGGCGGCTAATGCATCTGGCAGGTATAACGCACTGGCAGATGCGAACATTCGGATTGGATGGAATTGCATGAGCGGTGTTACTCGTACATAGCAGGGGCTGGTTGCGCCAAACGTGGCAGTGTTTCCCAACAGCAGAGAGCCAGAACAACGGTAATCCCTAAAACCCCAAGACGTCAAGCCCACACACCCAGCATTGTGGACCCAAAGCGCTACAATCTCAACTGGATGACTTTGTATTGCTGCTACCACCTGGATAGTTGCGCTCGAGCGTGGGAGGGCTGGAAGCATGACTTCGTATTTGCAGAATCAGGCTGGACATTCGCATGAAAAGATAATTAGGATCTTCCTGAACCCTGTGATTCATCTGCGAGCCAAAGCTTTCAATCTGTGCTCTGCGAGCGCTTGCGCAGTGGGGCAAACAGGGCCCATATGCCACCTTACCGAACCAAACAAAGTTGATAATCTGCTGGCGCATTAATCCTTTCGTTCGAACATGAATCAGCCACACTCGCATTGATGATGCTAGTCACTACTGTTCCCTTTTTTCCTCTGCTAGATCTCTTTCAGTATTCTTTCATTTGTTTGCTCGGTGCCATTGTCCTTGCTGTTCTTAATAATGCTGCTCCCCAACAAGAACTTGCTTTTATCCAACGCTGATGCCAGAAAGCTTGCATGGACAGCCAAGTCTACGGAACACAGTGAGCCAATGCTGCCCATTACCTCACAGTCAAGCAATTCAATTCTTCTCAGCATACATGCAGCAGCATAGTATGCTATGCCTCTAGCGAAACTCCTGAACTTAGAGTAACAGGTCTTCAATTTCCTCCGCATGGGATTCGGAGGCGTCACCGCGCAGGTTCGGCTCGGGCTGAGGAGTTTTTCAGGGCGTCTTCCCTTTGAACTGACCTGCATGTGAGCTTTCCTTAAACCTGTGGGTTATAGAGTGATACCTCTTAACCGAGTATGAGGAGCACAACACTGAGACGCTGATTTTTGAAACCAACCAGGTGGCTAGGAGATTCCCAAGTCTGAAGATTCGGATGATGATTCTGCTTTGGTATGGACGAAGGGCAGGTTTCGATTCAGGGGCAGCTCAGTGGTGCTCACGGGAGTCTGCACTAGGGCTTTTAGAAGCCGCATGCTCATGCAAGCTACAGTCTACGCTCTTTAAGGGGCGTTATATAGGGGCTTATATAGGGGATTTCTTCGGGGTGTTTTAAGGGGAATACTAGGAATTTAGACTACAGCTCATGTCCAAGTCAACGGACCTTTCGGTTACTTCACATTCACGTGAATCTGTCGCCGAAAGTTTTCTTACGCAGCAAAGCTTACACCCCCCCCTTAAGTAGATAGAATATGGGGCATATGGGGATCTTATATTCCCTGTATAACCCAAATATAGTATAGTAGCTTCCATTTTCTTTTCCATTATCCCTATATTACACCAATATATAATATACCCAAAGCCATATTCCATCTACTTATGGGGGACTACAGTCAACTTGTCGTTTGAGGAGGTCTACGAGCCATCTTGTTGCCGTGAATTGGAACTCGAGGTCCTGAGCTCAAACCGAGCTCTCAACGCTTTTAGCATAAGATTTGAAGATGAAGCCCCCAGAACCTGATTGAAACTGCCAGGTCCTATGCACGGCTCCACTTGAGTTCGACTCAGGATAAGCTCTAGCGACATCCCAAACCTTGCTTCCAAAACCAAGCTCGCATCAGATCATACGTGCAGGCAGGTATGTGGGGCTTAGCCAGAACCACAATCGCAAAGCCCCAAAGCCTGCCGAAAACCCCTAACCCCAATCCGACAGTCCAAACTTCCGTCTAAACCCTCAAGCCCCAACCTTAAACTCCCCAACCTCACTCCCACAAAACTTCCCAAACCCTAGCCACCACACCCCACCCAGAAAAGCCCAAACTTGGGCGAGGCCTATGGCGCCAAGGATTCGCGAGAGCTGGCGGCTGGAGCGCTGCGGGGCCTTGTCGTCGGCTCAGGCCCGGGTTTTGCTTCACGTTGCTAAGGGGGATTAGAAAACGGAAGCTACTATAGGATATGGGGGTTGTTTAGGGAAACTGCTATCAGTTACAGTTGTGGAAAAATGGGGCACTGCCGAAAACTCGGGGTCTCTTTCTGAAAGGGGCCTGAGAATTGATTGTAGCACTTTGGGGTATATAAGTGGAAACCCCCCATTTTTTGGTAATACCAACCGATGTATAATGATAATCATATGGTCATTTCCTTCTACGAGCATTGGACACAATGTTTCACAATAATGTAGTTCGGGGCGGCAGTGGCAAGGTGGAAACTTTTGCAGTATATGACTTACAATTGCTAGACATGGAGATTACGTGCGTAATGATGTAGTCGATCGGTTTCTTTCGCGTTCTTCATGGGTTCAGCTTGGGCATAAACGTGTAAAGCATACCAGGAACTTCATGGAGGCTTTTGGGGGACCGGATTGTGGCTTCAGGTACGGGCCTATGTGTAGAACGGCAGAAGCCTGTGTCCATCATCCAGATAAGCAACATTGAATGCGTTCCTGTCAGAGCACCCAGTTGTAACTGTACCATGAAACTCTTCATCGAGCAGTGGTCCTCTTAAAGTCCTATACAGCCCTAGACCCCACATAGCTATGATCTGGACCCATGGCAGCAGAACCCAGGCAGCCCAACGACCCTAAACATCAAATCTCAACAAGAGACTCTCTCTCATCTAGCCAAGGTAGAGTCCTTTTTAAAGGGCTTCGGCACTCTGCTGAGCAGCCTCATTTCCTCAGAACTCTAAACCCTGAAGCAAACAACCTGTATACTGTAAACCCCTGACCCCAAAACCGCGAATACTAATACTGGCACTTACTATTAATATCACTATTAGCCTGGATGGCAGTCCTCGGAACTGTGCTCTGCATGCTCCGGGAGCCCTTGGAGCGGCTTCTCTTTGGTTTTCTTCACGTTCCCGACGAGGCCACATGGGCTGCTTTGGGTATATTGTGGGGCTCGGTATGGACACTGCGTAGGGAGTACATGGGGAAGAAACATATGACTTCACGCGGTTTTTCCAAGCTCTTGGACTTTGAGTGGAACTCCCAAGCAGAAGGTGCAGGATCCCGGGCTAAACTTATTTTCCTGGGCTTTAAGTGGTGATCATCATGAACTCACACAGTCTTTGCCTTGTTGGTGCAGGAATGGCTAACGGCGTTTTTTTACTTACAGCCCAGGTAGGAAGATGACTTGGAACTCATGCTCTAAGCAATGCTCTAAGCAATCGTCGCCACCACTTCCCTCTTCATAAGACATCTAGGGCGCAGGCACCTTCGAATTCAGGAGTTGCCCCAAGAGAAGGCTCATGTTGAAGTTGCCAGATACATTTATAATCTCCATGGCCGGGTAGCCATCAGAATCCGCTGCAGTCTATGTCTGATCTTCGGCGGCTTGCTAGCAGGCAACCCTTGCCAAAGCCATTGTGTACTTTCAGACACGTGCCTCTCGGCGGCAGTCATGAAAGCTGATTTTGTGCACAGGCGCAATGATACAGTCCTTGGTTACATTGACTTGAAGCCTTCTTGAAGCCCAAAGTCTTGCCTCAACGCTTTCTGTTTTAGCCCTCGTCACGTCCACCATCCTCAGCTGTGCAGATCTTTGGCACACCGGCCGCCTTGTCAAACTTCGTCGTGCAGGCCTGGCTCATCAACATCCAGAGGCCAGGTTGGTCTCGGGATGCGGCTGCGGCTGCCGTGCTTCTTAGTATTCTCCGTAGTCGTGGTCATCATCATCACCATCATCATCTCATCATCACAGTCATTTTTTAGCGCCATCGCTATCGTCATGATAACCATTAATAAGATAATCATCATTGCCATCATTAGCTTGGTCATTGTCATTCAGGATGACATGACTGTCACTAGTATGATCGTTATCAGGTTCTCGTAATATCTACATTATTCTCTCGCAATTGTCTTCTAATTCTTACCTGTCTTGCCCAAGACACATTTCCTAATATTTCTTAAGAACAGCATCTCTTACAGTTACGTAGCATGTTTGATATGGCCTTCGGAAGTGAGTCGAGACTTCTCACGGGAGATCAGATCAAATGCAGGACGGACGTGGCTCTGGTAACCAACCTGGTACTCAACCTCTGCAATGCCATCCTCTGCATTTTGCTGGGCCGACTCCTGGACTACGGCATTTGGGGCGTGGCCGCGGCCACAGTCGTGTCAAATTACATCGCCTTGGCATTCGGCTGCTACCAGATCTGGCGGAATCTGCGGCTTCTGCCATGGGTTTCAGAGAGTGAAGATCCTTTTGCCAAGCTGGACCTTTCCCTTGTTTGCAGCCCAGAAAAGCTGGCGAAGCTCGCCTCGCTGAACATCAACATCCTGATCCGCTCTGTTTGCATCATGGTCATCGTGCGGTGCCCAGCTGCCCAGCATTTCTTCCGAGCTGTGAAGCAAAGTGTTTTCTAGGTTGTTGCTCTCAGGTCACAGACTTCACTTCCCTCAGTGCCAAGCTGGGGAGTGCTGCCCTTGCGGGCAACAACCTGCTGATGCAGCTACAGATGCTCATCTCCTTTGGAGCAGATGGTTTCGCCAACGCAGGTGAGGCGATGGTGGGCCAGGCCATTGGTTTTGGAAACAGCCACCGGGTCAGGCAGGTCTTTGGGGCGCTGATGTGCTGGGGCCTGCTGCTGGGGCTTACCTTCACGGCTCTCTATGTCTCCTGTGGACGCTGGATCCTCTTGGCTTTGACCTCTCACCGTGAGATTGTAGACTATGCGGAGGCGTACCTTCCATGGCAGTGGTGCGCGCCATTGCTCTCCTTCACAGCCTACCTTATGGACGGTCTCTTTGTTGGCGCAACACAGCCGAACAAGATGCGAGATGCGACGTTCCTAGCACTGCTAGCCTTCTTGGTCGCCAGCCACGCCGTCCCGGAGTTTTCCAACGACGTGTTGTGGGGCGCATTCATGCTGCATCTTCTTGTGCGCGCCGCGGTATTGGTGTACTGGTACAAAGGCATTGAACTCGCTGCAGACGAGCGGCACTCATACTATCAATCGCTTTTGCCTTCAGACTCTATCGACCCAGATCTTGCATTTAGAAACTTGCTGCGCCCCACGGACGCATAAGGCGATAAAGCGAACACCCGCATGCTATGCGTGCAACAGAGCCGCTGATCGAGCAACTGTCTGCTTCTTGGATCGCGTGAATCGTGTCGATGAGATGCCGGGCTTCATGATCAATGACGTTCTGGGATGTTCTGGGCTGCTAGCTGTGAGCGAGCCTGGGGATCCTGGAAGCTTGATGCTGTGTGGCGCTACTGGGACCACTTCCTCACAGAGTTCTTCCCCTCGGAGGTGCTCGTGCTGTCAGTTTCCAACCTCGACTTTGAGCGCTTTTGGAGCGGCGCGGTCACGTGCAGATCTTTCTTCTGTACTTGGTGAGATGTGAGTAGCAGTTTGATGGAATGCTCGCAAGCTCTGGCAGTGCTGTGCTTGCGAAGTGTACGAATGTTGTCGCAAACGGTCAGCACGAGCTTGTGTATTTTCGTCATCCGGATTGCAGATCTGTTGAAATAAACCCAGAAGTGATGAAATCTTCTCTGTCCAGCTGGACACATAGACCCATGGTAGCTAGCGCACCGTGTAAGGAACCAAACCAGCCGTGCCCATGTGCAGACATACAAGCACTACCAAGCGTAGTCGTCATCTTTGGATTTCCGTGCAACTTGGCTTGGATAAAAGGCCTTGTACAATTCTCTCAAACCCTCAGATGCGACCTCCCAAGCCTTGCGCGCTCAGGCCCGGGGGCACCTGCGGCCGCTCCGCCCAAAGCGGCGGAAGGCCCACGGGCCATGAAAGGCTTCAGGGCCTTGGGTGTACGGTTTTGGGATAAGGGTGTGTGGGTTCATAGGATGTTTGTGTCTGGTTCACAGCTTCGGGCTCTCAGGTTGGCATGTGGTGTGCTTTGTGTTTAGCCTTCAGTCAGGGCCCCTTCAAAAGGGGATAGCGGAATTAACCCCGTGTTGGGTCTATACCCGGTGTGGAGTTTTTTCTTTCAGAGATAGTATAGATGACTCGCCCAATTTTTATGAGCTGTGTGGTCTTCTTATTGCCAGAGACGGCAACAATGGGGTCTTCTTGTGCTTTCGACCATACTCCTCCGACACTTCCTTTGCATCAGACGCAGCATTGCTCGAGCTTGAGAGTAGGACTGAGGTTTGAATTCCCTCCAGCTGAAAGCAGGCGTGCTGTTAGTTGCATGTGAGGACAATGAGGACCAGATCAGATCCTTAAGCATGTCTTTTTTCCGTCCTGATGCAACCTTGCTTTTCGCGATAGTACCTTGGGATTAACCGTTGTGCCTGCATCCCCGCTAGTAACCGGCACAACTCCACTGGGAAAGCCATTAGCTTCTCTGTAGCTAAATTTGTCTCCTTCCGCGTCGAATAATTTTGCTACTCAAGCATGAAAGGCATTTGATTTGAAGCCTTAGGTCCCCCGATCTCAAGCCCCAAGCCCCCGACAATAAACCAAGCAAATACACACCATAATCATCAGAATGCTTACCACATACCAATGGTACTCCCCTGCGCTCGTAATAAAGGGTTTGGATACTATACCTCAAGTTCGATTCAACAACTTACCGTGCCCTGCTTCCTCGCCATGGGTCGCAGCCGCCGCGGAGACGCACAGGCCGGCTTTCGGATGATAACCTCACAACTCACAAGGTTCAGTCAGTTTAGGGTTCAATGTGCCAAGATGTGAGATGTATTGGGGAGTTCAGGTTGTAGGGGAATGAGAAGGTTTTCAGTCCAACTACTTTCCACAAGAAGAGCATGAAACTCCACGTGGTAGGGGTTCCGTTGTATTAAGGCCTCTCATGTTTAAGGTACCCAAAGAGGGACCGTATAATTGACAACCTACTACAAAGGCTCCTTTTTCCTAGGGCGGCTGTCTTTGATGGTCCAGGTAAACTCCCGCAGTAAGGCTTGATTTATGTGCCGTCTGAGGAGTCACACAGGGGATGCTATGTGAGATGTTGGATCCGCTGGGAGTGCCCCCGTGTGCCCAGCCTATGATCCTTTACTTCTTGGTGAGGTCTTTTGTTGCGGGATGCTTTTATTTCTGGCATCCTTCCAGAGCGGGAATCTTGACCCTCCTGATACTGCTTTAGCCATTATATATGTCGTCTTCTCACGAAGCCTTGTGTAGTCATAGAATCCTCAGAGTGCAGAATGATGTCCCCAACCCTGAGCTCCAGACCCGAAACCATTCATCCAAAAGCAGGCCGAAATCCCAACCTGAAGCTTCAACCATCACTCGCTGACTCAAAATCCTTGACCTTAAGAGTTGACAGAACCAGTGCTTCTGAGGGTGGAAGCATTGCCCTGAGCGAAGTGGTTTTCATGTTTTGCCCTGCTCCTAATGCTTGTCATGAGCAGAGGGCAGATGGGAAAGGGCGTGCCAAGCAAGAGACCTTCATCTTGAACCTAATTTAGGGTTATACTGGGACTACATAGGGATTATATAGGGATAATGGAAACCAACATGGAAACTACTATAGGGGCTTTGTAAACCTAGGCCCAGGCCCTGAAACCCTTCATTCTTACCTCAATTTTGAACCCTGAAGCGCGAAGCCTAAGTTTCATAATTCTCCGCAGCTTCCGTTAATACTGCTTAGCAGGGAATGGAGGAGTGGATGCCTATAATTTATAAGGTTCCTGCAGAATCCACAATAAAACCTCATTTCGTACAACCATCCACAACCCTAAACCCACATCTTGCATACGTATTCCTTTCTGTCTGATATACACCCGCTTTATATCCCCTCTTTCTGCGTTATATGCGCCTTGAATACCTCCAATAGGTTTCAGTATTCCTCTATATTCCCAACAAACCCTTGTATTCTTAAATGCTTCTTATATCCCCTAGATATCACCACCGTAATATAGACCCCAAATACAGTGGTCCTTATTTTAGGGACTCCCAAAACGGTACACCCACTTTTGGGAAAATCCCCCCATATTTCAGAGATGTCCAGGTATCCGAGCAGGCGAGCCGCTCGCGGAGCCCTCCGCCTCGGAGCTCCAGCCGAGGCCTCCCCAAAAGAGGATATTATGGTACCCAATAGGGTTTCGGGTTTAGGGTTTAGGGTTTAGGGCCCTATAATGGAGAATCAAATGGAAAAGAAAATGGAAAATGAAATGGAAACTGTGATTATATAGGCGTTGTTTGTGTAGTATCTTATTTGG